ATTTCTTTTAAATTCACTCCAATCCAGCTTTCATCACCATCAGTCCATGCATGCTGTTCTTGTCAAGGTCACCAATAGCCTGCATGTTGCCAAATCCAATCATTGCACTGTCTTCTTACTTGACCCATCAGTGGCACTGACTCAGCTGATCATCTCTTCTTGGAATACTCTTTTCACTTGGGATCCAGGACACTGCTCTCTGGGGTCTCCTCCTTCACCAACTGCTGGATCCTTCCCCACCTTTCACTGGTCTAATGCCCCAAACTTAATCAGTTCTTGCCTGATTTATTATTAGACACAGCCTTCTAACTTGTTTGCCTGCATCTCCCCTACCCTACCCTACAATCTATTCTCAATACAGCTGCCAGAGAGACTTTTAAAATATAAATCAGATCATGTTACTCTCATATGCAAAAATATCAAATGGCTTTATCCATCACTTTATTTAATATCTCAAGTCCTATCCATGGCCTTCAGACCTGACAAGATCTAGATCCCTCCTACCTCTGTTACTGCACCCTTACCGCCATCTTTCTTGTAGATTTGCTGTAGCAAAGGCATATGTTCCCACGTAGAGCTACAGCTCTAGCTATGATAGCCTCCCTGATAGTTCTCATACATATGGAACATGCTGCTGCCTTGGGAGTTGGTCTTTATTGTTTCCTCTATTTGGAACACCATAGAAATAACTACCTGGCTTGCTCCTTCACTTTCTTCAGGTCTCTGTTCAAATGTCATCTTTTCAAAGGTGCTTACCCTGACCACCTTACCTACCAGTCACTCTCTATCCTTCTAACCATGTTTCCTTTTTTTTTTCATAGCACTTATATATTATGTATTTGTCTGAGTTCACCTCTATATCCCCAGACTTAGAACAGTATTTGATATATAATTGGAATTCAGTATGTATAGACTGAATATTTGTTAAAGGACAGACTCTTTATATAATTATTTTATTTTATAACTTTTGGTGGTGAATTATCTTTGGGAATCCTGCACTGTAATATCCCTAAGTGCAGAGATATCATCAACTCCACGCTTACTGCTCTGCTACTCAATTCCTTCTTCATTTTTGGTCCCTTAGGATTTTCTGTCTTTCTTGTGAGTTCAGCTATGCATTATTAAAAAATGTTAATGATCACTTTAACATCCTAGGTGTTTACAGCAGGAGAATTTTTAGTTAATGTAATTTAATGTAATTTGCCAAACCCCAGAACCTGCTACTCGAAGTAAAAAATATTTTCTTCAATATGAAAATGTGTTAAAGAAAAAAACACTTCAAAATGGGTTTCCCTCACCACAACTGACCTGGATACTACCAGAGTACGTGGCAACCTGCCAGGCTGTCTGATCTCGTTGGCCTCTTCTGTCAGGGAAGGAGGTGCAGTTTGCCCTCACTGGAAGAGAAACTTACTCTAGATGTGCTTCCCTTCCCTGTCCTCAACGCTTCTGTCAGCCCCACCATCTGTGGACTTGCTGGATGCTTTCTTCACCATCATGGTATCCTATAAAACACTGCCGCTGACCAAGGAACTGATGTGAGGAACTGAGAGAACAGACTTATGCCCCTGGGATCCACTGGTTTTATCCTGTTCTCTATCCCCCTGGAGTAGCCAGCCTCATAGAAACATGGAATAGCTTACTGAAGACTCCTTTATAGCACCAGCTGGGTGATACCTTATGGAGCTATGTTTCTGTTCTATAAGATCCTGTATCTGCCCTGAAACAGGAACCATTAACTGATTTCTCCCATGGTCACAAATCTAGGAATCAAGTGACAGACATCTCATTAACACCCCTAATAGCCCACTTGTAAAATTTCTGCTTCCTGTCACCACTGGGTTCTTAGTTCCCAAGTGGAGGTGAGGGGGGAGTGGTGACGTTCTACCAGGGGCTGTAACAAGAATTCCACTGAACTAGAAGCTAAGACTGCCACTTGGCCATTTTGGACTTCCCATGCCACTGAACCAATAGGCAAGGTGGGCATTATTGTAAGGATGGTATGATTTATTCTGATTATCAAGGGAAATAAAGCTATTATTATACAATGAGATGAGGGAAGAGATATCTAGAACTCAAGGGATTATGGAGGTCTTAGTATTCCTATGTAAAGTGAAAAAAGTTAATGGAAGGCTCTGTAACCCATTAAGACAGGATCACTAATGGGCCACAATCTTCCAAAAAAAATACGTTTGTGGGGGCCGGCCCCATGGCCAAGTGGTTAAGTTCGTGCTCTCTGCTTCGGCAGCCCAGGGTTTCACCGGTTTGGATTCTGGGCACGGACATGGCACCACTCATCAGGCCACGCTGAGGCGGCATCCCACATGTCACAACTAGAAGGACCCACAACTAAAATATACAACTATGTCCTGGGAGGAGGGGAGGGTTGGGGAGAAAAAGCAATAAAAAAATAAAAAATAAGTTTGTGTCACCTGCCAGATAAAGAACCCCAACAAACCAAAGTGCTGGTATTAGCTATTTCTATTCTCATTTCTGCAACTGGTCATGTGGCCATAGTGTATATTTATAACTTCCTTTTTCTACTCTCCATTTCACACATCTTCTACCTGCACCTTCTAAGACTGTAACAACCTAGCACTGCAAAGTGTTGTCACCACATGGTACCACAGCTGTGTCCTCAACAGCCCACTGTACCATTCTATCAGGTTACTTGGTATAGTAGGTAAGAGTAAAAAAACAAAACATAGAAATGAACAACAAAAACTCCCCAAAATCCCTGATCTCATGGCTGAAGTCCTCCCAAAATAGAAAAAAAACAGATTTTATTCTACCTTTCAAGGCTGTATATCACAATTTATATAATACGCATAGAGAATTATTTGGCCTAAGGGAGGTAGCATGATGTAGTGGAAAGAACTTTGACTAATAAGCAGAAGACCCTGAATTCTAATTCCAGTTTTGCTATTAAGTAGTGGTGTGAACTTAAAAAAATTCACTTAACTCCTGAGTATCACTTACCAAATATGGAAAATAAAGTTTTCAAATGTTTTTTGTTACAGATAATGTTTTTTAAAGCTGCATAATACTTCCTTCAGCCAAAATCTTACGAGAAAGTGCAATATGTAAAATCAGTAAAATGATGATAATGGGGTATACACGTGTATGCATGTGTATGCACACACCGTTCAGACGCTCCCCACCTCCGCCATATGGCCTTAAGACACCACAGCACGGCATAGTTTCAGACTTAGATGATCAATGAAATCCCCAACAATTTTAAAATTCCAATATTTTCCAAATTAATTGGCTTTGAAATAAAATAAAAATGCCTTTCTGTATGACCCCAGGGAGCAACCAAATCAAAATGGAAAATTACATAAACTTGGAAATTGTTGTTATGATATTGACATGAAAGGTAATAATGTAATGATAAATGCAAACAGAAGATGGCAGACTTCAAAATACTTAGAGAAAGATTGTGTGTAATAACTTGTTTTGTTTAGGGCATAGGTTTGGAAAGGCACAAGAAATCTAGTACATGTGAAAGATTTCTAACTGGCAGGAAAAAGCCTGGTATTTGCAGCAGGTAAATGTGTAGCTTCTGATTACCAATGAGATTGTCCAGGTAGCTTAAAAGAAGATGTGCAGCTAACACAAGTATTGAGATTTTTGTGCCTAGAATATAACACACATTGTTTTACTGGCCTGGTTAACTGTTTTATAAAACAGTATCTTATGAGTATGGTGAGCTCAAATCAAATCCTATAGATAATACAGGCATAGAGACCAAGGCAATATTTCCCCATTAATTCATTTGCATCTTTTAAAATTTTTTCCTTCTTCTCCCCAAAGCCCCCCAGTATATAGTTGTATATGTTAGTTATGAGTGCCTCTGGTTGTGCTATGTGGGGTGCTGCCTCAACATGGCCTGATGAGCGGTGCCATGTCCACGCCCAGGATCCAAACCAGTGAAACCCTGGGCCACCGAAGCAGAGCGCATGAACTTAAACACTCGACCATGGGGCTGGCCCCTCATTTGCATCTTAATCATAGTAAAATAAACTCTTCATGAAATTGTTTAAAGCCTAGGTATTTAAACTTTTAATGAAGTCAAAATCACTTAGATTCTGTGGTGTAGTCTTATTCTTATATATGAGAATATACAAAAATTCACTTCTGGAAACTGCCACTAGTTTCCCTAGGCCGAAGACTTTTGTATTAGATTTAAGCGCACCATTAAACAAATTTAGTAGTTGGGTACTAAAACAAGGATAACAACTTATCCCAGAAGACAAACTATCTTCCAGGAATTATGTGGAGACAACTGCAACATCCTGACACATGGGTATAACTGATTCATAGTTTGGGGGACTCTGACTCTTCTAGAATGGAAGATGCATTAAATTTTCAGTATGGGGTTTAAATGCTCATTTAATTCTTTACTAAAAGCAGAAATACTATTACTACTCAAAGCAAGCATCTATTTGATGCAATACTAATTTGGAAGAATGAATGATGAATTAGAAACTGGATATTTTTCTTATTTGATCATTTATATACACTTAAGTTTGTTACATCTTCTCAAAAGTAAGGAAAACACCCTGTGATTAATAAACTAAAGTGTTTCTGTACCCATCAAAACCATGATAGTTTCTGACTAGCTAAATAGCCACATAAAGGTTGTATCACCATCGATATTTTAATGCAACATAAATTTTTTTGTCATGTCCCTGAAAGCGATAAAGCATTTACAGTGAATACATTTAGTCAACTTTTTTTTTTAAAGACTTCTTTTTCTCCCCAAAACCCCCTCAGTACATAGTTGTATATATATATACATCTTTTTTCAGTTGTGGGTCCTTCTAGTTGTGGCACATGGGACGCCACCTCAGCATGGCCTGATGAGTGGTGCCATGTCTGCACCCAGGATCCGAATCGGCGAAACCCTGGGCTGCTGAAGTGGAGCGCAAAAACTTAACCACTTGGCCACCAGGCTGCCCCCTCAACTTCTAAAATATATTAACAAATTCATGACTCACCTTCCAAGCATGGTAAGTACCAGAGGGATCAGTCTGATACAATCTTGGGATACCATCGTCATCAAAGCCTACAATTAAGGCAGAAATACCAAAAGGTCTTCGTCCATTGCTCTGAGTATATTTCTGAAAAATAAAATGTTTTCATAACTACTTTCTATATGAGGCCATACAAAGTATAACAGTATTACTTATCAAATAACAAATTCTAATAGTAAATAAAGCATTCCTGCCAAAATGATCTTCTTTATCAATTCTTATTTTAGTATCTTTAAGATCCTCTACCTGACTTTTTCTGGACTGACTTCAATCCACGATGAAATTTTTAAGAAATTAATGTACACAGTCTGTAAAATAAAATCCTAAGTTTGCTTACATATGGTCTTAAGATAATTTTCTTGTTGCTCCATGAACATTTTGGTAACATAACTAGATTGTGATCTCTTTAATATAGCAGAGAACTGTGTGTGTCACAGCATTTTGGTTCCCAGCACAGCTGATTTCAGTGAGCTGTGCTTTGGAAGCATGTCCTTGGTTTACTTTGAGAGACACTGTAATTGTTACTATTATTATCCAGTATTCTCACTTGATACTATTATCATCAAGTATATTCTGTTCACTATAGACTAAGCTATCTCTACAGAAAAGCCAACCAAGACATTTCTTTCAGTCCCAAGACAAGGAAACCTTTGTTTCTCTTGAAGAAAAAGCATGCTTTTCCCTCACAGACAGCGGGGCACTGGAAACCAATTATATTTCTTTTTCCTGTTGTGCCAGGAACTTCCTGGATTTGTGCTCCAGGGAGTGGAATTCACACTCATTCTGAGACTGGTGCCCCTAGACGTTGTACCAAGAGGCAGTTCTGACAGAAAGCTCAAGACTCCATTTGTAGGCAGCTTGAGGAACTGTATGTAACTCTGTGGCTTGAAATAACTTTACACTAGCTTTCTTCTTGGACTTGTCAATGTATCCTAATTTTTATTTTTAAATTTTATCATATATGTATCTCCATAAACCACCTCAAAATTTGAATGCAAATAGTTGGGTTACAAAAATAAACTGTTAAAGAATAGGGTTTATGTCTTAATTCCTTTGTATTTTCTAATGTTCCTAGTTCATATTGAGGTATGAAGTAGATGCTTTGTAAATATACCTTAGAGGAGAGACCCTTTTACTTTATTTGCTCAATAAACCATTTTTTTTGTTTTGTTTGTTTGTTTGTTTTGAGGAAGATTAGCCCTGAGCTAACATCTGCCAATCCTCCTCTTTTTGCTGAGGAAGACTTGCCCTGAGCTAACATCTGTGCCCATCTTCCTCTACTTTATATAAGGGATGCCTGCCACAGCATGGCTTGACAAGCAGTGTGTAGGTCCACACCCGGTATCCGAACCAGAGAACCCCAGCCTGCTGAAGTGGAATGTGCGAACTTAACCCATGTGCCACTGGGCCGGCCCCTAAACCATTTCTTTTTAATGAAAAAGTAACACATGGACAAGGTTAAAATGATTTAAAAAGTACAAAAGTTGTACATAAAGGGTCTCTCTCTCTTGTCCCAGAACCCAGGCTCCTTCCCCGTGGCAATTCCACTGTGACAGATTTACAATATATATTTCTATAACTGTGCAATGCATAGCCTTTATAGTTCTAGAAGAAAACCTAAGAACCACAATTGGGAACCTTGTATACATAACGTTCTGTACCTTGTTTTTTGGTGGATACCTTTTTAACTACTGGGAAAATCAAAGCAAATAAAAAAGAAAAGTAGAACAATATAAAAATTTGGACTTTCTTGCATATGAATTAAACTTTTAAAATAGGGCAATTTTTCTACAAATATGTAATTTAAAACTTTAATACCTAGGATATGTAGTCCATTAAAAAATCTCTACATGGACAAATGGTAAAATCCACGCCAGAAAGTGTTTTAAATGCTATAAATGTATTAAGTCATTTAATCCATAATGCAACCCAACAAAGTAGGTATTATTGTAACACTCATTTTATAAATAAGAAAATTGAGGTAAAACAAGCTAGTTTGCCCAAGGCATTAAGTAGGAAGTAGCAAGGCCAGGATTCAAACCCTCAAATTCTGGCTCCTGGGGAACAGTCTTAACCATTAGAGTGCCTGTCAAAGTGAAGGATAGTTAGAAGGACTAGAAAGGACTAGAAGGGACTAGAAGGACTGAAAATAGCAAACCAACATGTAGAAAAATATCAACCTCATTACTAATTATAAAATACAAATTGAAACAACTATTACAGTACTATGTTATACTTATTTGCAAAATAAAAGAAAAATGAAAAACCCAATGCTAATGATCCTTCAGGGATACATTTATGCATTGCTGGTTGCACAATAAAAATTGGTTCAATCTTTTTAGAAAGCAATTTAGGTACATATAACAAGAGTCTTAAACCAATTACAGTCTCTAATCTAGTAATCCCATACTGAAAATTAATTTAACAATATAATTCAAAATAGAAAAAGAAAGGCTGTGACAAAGAGTAATGTTATTAAAGTAGCAAATTGAGAGAGAGAAAAAAAATGAAAGAAACTGGAAACAACCTAAATAATTACCAGATATTAACTAGAAACAGTATTATGTAGTTAGTAAGAACCTTAAGTATAAGGACTATGTTGACATATATAAAGGACACATAAAATTATAAGTGAAAAAATACATGTTTACATCATGATTATGCTTAATGTCCAGCCATGTATCTATGCATGAATTCAGAAGAAGTCATATCTAAACCTGATTAGTTATGTTTAGGTTTGTAGCTGAAAGAATCATGGGTATTTCTTTGGTCAACTTTAAAAAATGGTTCTCATTACTATGTCTCCAGAAGTGTAGAAATCCCCTTAAAGATTAGATTTATTGTTTTAAATTTTAATATAATTCCCAGAATTGATACTGACTGAGATTTCTAGTGATCAAATCAATCCATTCCATTGGAATAACAGTGTAAGTATGAAGTCAGTGTGAGAAAGAATAAGGAATTTAGTTGATTTAATAGACCAAATGATTGGAGTGATTATAGTATTTTCATAGGACCCATAATGATGGAAAAGGAGAAAACTTGAAGAAACCTGCTGGAATATTGGCTTACCTGCTTTAAGGCTGCTATGAAGCGAGTTATATATTCTACAGTGACTGGGTCCTCAACTGTGAGCTTATGACTCTGGCACTCCACACGAGCTCTGTTTACTACTGCTCTAGCGTCAGCAGTCAGTCCTATGAAAGCAGTTGACACATCACAAAAAAGAACGACTTTTTTCCTTGACAAAAGGGTTTTAACCATCATAAAATCTTTCTTATAATGTCCTTTGTTTTTCTCGATATATATCCATTATAAAGAACTTGTAAAATAGAGTATCACTTGTCCAACACTGATTTATTTCCTTTAAGACTTAATTTGATGCACTCTTCTTTTTCTTTTTCTTTTTTTTTTTTTTTTTGGTGAGGAAGATTCACCTTGAGCTAACATCTGTTGCCAATCCTCCTCTTTTTTTTGTTTGAGGAAGACTAGCCCTGAGCTAACATTCGTGTCAGTCTTCCTTTACTTTGTACATGGGATGCCTCCACAGCATGGCTGATGAGTGGAGTAGGTCTGAGCCCAGGATCCGAACCGCAAACCCGGGCTGCTGAAGTGGAGCACGCAGACTTTAACCACTTGGCCAGGAGGCCGGCCCCTTATTTTCTTTTTTAAAGAAAACGGCTTTAAAGAATAATGATTAAACACTAATGTCACATAAACTATTTCCAAAAGATCAAAATGATTTAATTCACAGTAGCTGGGCTGGTTATCAGGTTTTATTAAATGTTTTTAAAAAATCTATGTAGTCATATTTTTAAAATTTTTTTCCGAAAGATATCAATGGCAGACTGTTCAAAGGTTGATGTCTATCCAGATTCCAAGACCAATATACTTATTACCTAAACCATGAAGTAAGCTGGATTTCTTCTTGTGAAAACAATGAGTATTACTTCATTATCAAACACATATCCATTGAATTCAAACTGCATTCAATGTAACTGTGACATATCATTTCTCAGCTTTTTGTCTAAGATTAAGGGTTTGAAAATCAAGAAAGCTAAAACAGAAAAAGAAAACACTTCTTTGCTTTTGCCATACCGAAATATCATATAATTAATTTTCAACACTTCTATAAGGAAATAGTTAATGTGTTTCTATCAAAAAAATAGACTGATCAAAAGCTTAAACAGATGCAAAGGCTGCAAACATTTCTATTCAAGACTTCTTTGGCATTTGACCTCTCCATGGCCATTTTCTTTCTTTCCCTACTCTTTTAATACCACATTGCCCAAAAACTTCATTCATAAAATCTCTGAAACAGCTGTTTCTCACATAACCATCAGTCTTTTGCAGTCACAAACTCTTGCTCCCCTTCCACACCATTTCAAATAGTGTTTCTACAAACCTGGAAGAATGTCAGTCCCTGAAGATAGTTAATAGCAGTCAACAATAAAGAAGCTGTTAGAATATGCCACTGTTAAGAAGCACCCTAACGCTCTCGGGTAGGGAGCAAATTATAATCAGACAGCTAAAGGAAGAGAAACTGATTCTCTTCTTTTTGCAAATGTTATCTGAAAGAAAAGAATGGGAAAAGGTTGACTCAGCCCATCCTATGGATTAAAAGCTTCACTCACTTAGAAAATATTATCAGAAAGGAGATTTTTAAGTATTTCCCCTTTACAATGTAAACGTGATCCAAAACTATAGAAACATAAAAGTATCATACTTAGAAAGTAGTAATATACCTGATTCAAGGAAAAAAATTTAGTGGTAAATTTGCCAAACCATGAGTAACACAGTTGTGTGTATGTGTCTGTTTTCAACCTAAGTAGTAGGAATTATACTAATCGATACTAAATGGCTAGAAAAAGAGAACAAATTCCACTTAAAGATAGCATTGAAAATTGCAATTTCACTTTGATTATAAATAAGCTGTTTATAGAAGAATGGAGCCCTCAGTCTAGTGCTTTTAAATTTATACCACAGCTTTACCTTGAAGATACTATCATATTATAAAATTTCTACTATGAAATGGAATTCCACATGCCTCATGAAATAATTCTTTTTCAAACTCTTTGACTTTTTTCCCTAAGGGTTGTTTTCCAAACATTAAAAGCACAATATAACAACAACATTGACAAAATAATGTGATTTTTTTTCAAAATGGAACTATTTTTTTCTTATATATGCGTGCTCATTGTAAAATATTTCAACAGGGGGAATAAAAGTTACCATATAATTCCACAATTTATAAACAGAACTATATGACACACATTCTTCTGTAATTATTTTTAAGACATATTTTGGATACTTTCCCATTTATACATACAGATCCTACACTTCCTTTTGTAACTGCCACTAAATAGTAATAAGAATGATAATATGGTATTAGTAGTAATAGTAGTGGTAATAGTGATAGTAACATTTGTTAAACACTCACTTATGCCAGACATTGTTCTAAATGCTTATGTATTAACTCACTTAATTATTATAATAAATCAATAAAGTAGATTCTATCATTAAGCCCATGTTACAGATGGTTAAACTGAGGCAAGGAGCAGTTAAGTACCTTGCCCACGGTCACAGGTATGGCAGACAATGGAGTCTGGCTTAGAACCCAACTGGTATAATTCCAGAGCATGTACTTTTAAGCAACTGCATGGATTTACCATGATTCATTATACGAATTCCCCAATAAAAGAAATTTAGGTATTTTCCAATTATGAAAGCTAATTAACATGTGGGGGAGAATATTAGTAAATGCTTATTTTACTCTGCCAAAAAGTTATATACATACTGAAATTGTTTTTATATTAAAGTTAGAAAGGTATGTGCACCATAAATTAAAGCATTCCATATCATTTACATTAAGATGATTCCTTTTTAAAAAAAAATTTTTATTGTAGTAAAACACACATAACAAAAATTTAACCCTTAAGTGTACAGTTCAGTGAAATTAATTACATTTACACGTTGGGCAATCATCATCATCCATCTCTAGGACTTTCCTATATTCCCAAATTGAAATGCTATACCCATTAAACCATAACTCCCAATGCCCCTCCTCCAGTCCTTGGCAACCACCATTCTACTTTCTGTCTCTAAGAATTTGACTATTCTAGGTATCTCATATAAGTGGACTGATACAGTAATTGTCCTCTTGTGACTGCTTATTTCACTTAGCACAATGTCTTCAAGCTTCATCCGTGTTCTAGTATGTATCAGAATTCTTCCTTTTTAAGGCTGAATTATATTCCATTGTACACACATACCACGTTTTGTTTATCTATTCATCCATCAATGGACACTTAGGTTATTTCCACCTTTTGGCTATTGTGAATAATGCTGCTGTAAACATGGATGTACAAATATCTGTTTGAGTCTCTCCTTTCAGTTCTTCTGGGTATATCACCAGAAGTGGAAATGCTGAATCATAGGGTAATTTTGTTTTTTTTAAAAAGAAACTACCATATTGTTTTCAAGAGTAACTGCGCCATTTTACATTCTCACCAATAGTCTGTAAGGATTCAAATTTCTCCACATTCTTGCCAACACTTTTGGAGAAATAACTATTTAAGTTCTTTCCTCTTTTTTTTTTTGTTGGTGAGGAAGATTGGCGTTGAGCTAACATCTGTGCCAGTCTTCCTCTACATTGCATGTGGGATGCCACCCCAGCATGGCCTGATGAGCAGTGTGTAGGTCCACACCTGGGATCTGAACCAGCAAACCCTGGGCCACCAAAGTGGATTATGTGAACTCAACCACTATGCCACCAGGCTGGCCCTCTTTGCTCATTTTTGAATTGGGTTGTTTGCTGTTTTGTTGTGTCCTAAGTGTTCTTTCTATATTCTGGGTATTAATCCATTATCAGATATACAATTTTGCAAATATTTTCTTCCATTCCATGGATTGCCTTTTCACTCTGTTCACTGTGTCCTTTGATGCATTACAGTTTTGAATTTTGAGGTAGTCCAATTTACTTTTGAATTACTAAATTGGTTTGCTAGTATTCTGTTGAGGAATTTTACATCAATATTTATAAGGGATATTGGTCTATAGTTTTCTTTTCTTGCAGTGTCTTTGCAGGGTTTTGGTATCAGGGTAATCCCGGCCTCACAGAATGAGTTTGGAAGTATTCCTTCCTCTTCAATTTTTTGTAAAGAGTTTGAGAAGGACTGGTATCAACTCTTTAAATGTCTGGTAGAATTGCCAGTGAAAACATCTGGTCCTGGACTTTTCTTTATTTGGAGGTTTCTGGTTACTGATTCACTCTTTACTGATAGTACATTTGTTGAGATTTTCTATTTCTTCTTGAGTAACTTCAGGTACTTTGCATGTTTTAAGGAATTTGTCCATTTTTTTCTAGGTTATCTCATTTGTTGGCATATAGTTGTCCTTTTTATTTCTGTAAAATCGTTAGTAATGTACCCCTTTTTGTTTCTGATTTTAGTTGTCTTCTTTTATTCTTAGTCCATCTAGCTAAAGGTTTGTCAATTTTGTTGATCTTTTCAAAGAACCAACTCTTGGGTTCACTGATTTTTCTATATTGTTTTTCTGTTTTCTAATTTTATATATTTCTGCTCTAATTTTTATTTCCTTCCTTCTGATAGCTTTTGGTTTAGTTTGTTCTTCTTTTTCTACTTTTTAAGACATAAAGTTAGGTTGTTGAATTGCAATCTTTCTTTTTTTAATGTGTAAGTGTTTACAGCTATACATTTTCCTCTTAGCACTGCTTTTGCTGCATCTCATGAGTTTTATATGTTGTGTTTCCATTTTCATTTGTCTCAAAATATTTTCTAATTTCTCTTGTGAGTTCTTCTTTGACCCATGGGTTTTTAGGAGTATTGTTTAATTTTCATATATTTGTGGGTTTTCCAGTTTTCCTTCTGCTGTTCATTTCTAGTTTTATTCCATTTTGATTGGAAAAGATACTCTGTATGATTTCAGTCTTTTACAATTTATTAAGACTTGTTTTGTGGCAAGATGATTCCTTTTTTAAGACAGTTAGAAAGGCTATTTCTTGCTCACTGAGGTTTTTAAACATCAACATAAAATTCTGGTTTTTAAAAAACAGAATTAAAAAATAAGCAAAGAAAAAAAGACAAGAAACATGTTTTGTTTGCTATACAGAGGCAAATAAACACATGAAAATACATTCAACATCATTAGCCATAAGGCAATGCAAATTAAACCCACAGTGAGCTATCACTATACACCTATACAAATGTTTAAAATAAAAAATAGTAAAATACCAAATGTTGCTGAGGATGCAGAGAAAATGAATCATTTATACGTTGCTAATGGGAATGTAAAATAGTACAGCCACTCTGGAAAACAATTTGGCAGTTTTTTATAAAACTAAGCACACATTACCATATGATCCAGCAATTGTACTCTTGAGCATTTATTCCAGAAAAATGAAAGCCTATGCTCACACAGAAAAACTGTTCACAAATGTTCATACCAGCTTTATCTGTAATAGACAAAATCTGGAAAAAATCCAACTGTCCTTCAATGGGTGAGTTATTAATAAAGTATGATATATCCCATACCATGGAATACTATTCAACAATAAAAAACAATGGACTGTTGATATATGGAACAACTTGGATGAATTGCAAAGGAATTATGCTGGATAAGAAAAGCCAATATGAAAAAGTTATATACCGTATGATTCTATTCATATAACATTCTCAAAATGACAAATTATAGAAATGGAGAATAGATTAGTGGTTGCCAGAGGTTAGAGACAAGAAGGAAGAATAGCATGAGGTAGCCTTGTAGTGATGGAAGTGTTGTGTATCTTGATTGTGGTGATGGCTACATGAATCTACACATGATAAGACTAATAAAACTAAACAAACACACAAGCAAATGAGTGCATGCAAAACTGGTGAAATCTGAATAAACTCTGTGGCTTGTACACATGTCAATTTACTGGTTTTTGAAGATGTTACCATTGGGGAAACTGCGTAAAGGGGACTTCCTTGTGTTCTTTTGCAACTTCTTGAGGATATGTAATTATTTCAAAGTAAAAAGTTAAAAAAGAAACAGCTAACTAAAGTTATAATTAAGGTAATACGTATCTTTTAACATACGTTTTATTAAAGCTCATTATCAGAAATCTTGGTTTACAGAGTTGTGATTTTCCAGAAAAGATAAGGAATACTGTGTTTAACAAGAAATGGAGTATAGCTCCACATGTTATATAAATATAGCACAAGAGCCGTAGTGGGGCCAAGTGTGTTACCCTACTACACTAAGGTACTCTGTATCATTATTGTAGGTCCATAAGTACCTGCAAAAGCCATGCAGACGTGGTCATCAAGGGCACAAATTTTCCTCACAGTTCTTTCATCTTGAAGCTTAGCAACAGATTTTTTCTCCACCCCGAGCACAACTATATCAGTACCTCGAATTCCAACCTGTCATTAAAAAAACATAATTAGTTGTCAGTTTTAACATTAAAGTCAAATTATTCTAATACATGACTTATAAGAAAAGTCTTCTTCTTGAACATTCAATAAAAATGAGAAAAGTAGACTTCTAAGAAGACAGATGCATAGGCACAGGCTTACTAGAAGTCCATTCCCCAACTCAAAGCAAAGAAGACAGATAGATAGAAACCGGAAGAATATACCACCAATGCTGAAACTACACGAGTATCCTGATCTCACACGATACACTTAAAGAAGTGCTATCTAAATACAGAACAATTTTAACCAAAATGAAAGAAGACACTGGGAAGCCATGTGGATTCCTTATTAGAATGGGCAGTACCAGTACTGGTGGTAGTAGTAGTACAGAAAGTCAAGCAGACAGAATTCTGAAAGCTCTCCCATGTATCACTCTAGACCAAATGCCCTCATTCCAGAACACTGATCAACGAAGCCTCAATTCAACACAGTTACAACAAGAAGAATCACTATTGCCCCTCCTTCCACTCCTTCCCTTGGGGAGGAAGTGAGGAAAAGTCTAAAGAATAATGTACAACGGTGGGAGTTATCGAACAAGGACTTCTGGGGAAACATGGCCATATTCTCAGGGATTCAAGAGTAATCTATGAGAATTTTAATTCCATATTACAATGGTAATCTAAATATGTTTTTTTTACATTTTTTTATTGAGTTGATAGGTTACAATCTTGTGAAATTTCAGTTGTACATTAATGTTTGTCATTCGTGTTGTAGGTGCACCACTTCACCCTTTGTGCCCACCCCCCACCCCACCTTTCCCCTGGTATCCACTAAACTGTTCTTAGTCCATAATTTTAAATTCCTCATATGAGTGGAGTCATACACAGATTATCCTTCTCTAGCAGGCTTATTTCACTTAACATAATTCCCTCAAGGTCCATCCATGTTATTGCAAATGGAATGATTTTGTTCTGTTTTGCAGCTGAGTAGTATTTCATTGTATATATGTACCACATCTTCTTTATCCATTCGTCTGTTGATGGGCACTTAGGTTGCTTCCATGTCTTGGCTATTGTAAATAATGCTGCAATGAACATTGGGGTGCATAGGACTTTTGGGATTGCTGACTTCAACCTCTTTGGATAAATACCCAGTAGTGGGATGGCTGGATTGTATGGTAGTACTATTTTTAATTTTTTGAGGAATCTCCATACTGTTTTCCATAGTGGCTGCACCAGTTTGCATTCCCACCAGCAGTGTATGAGGGTTCCTTTTTCTCCACAACCTCTCCAACATTTGTTACTATTAGTTTTAGATATTTTTGTCATTCTAATGGGTGTAAGGTGATATCTTAGTGTAGTTTCGATTTGCATTTCCCTGATGATCAGCGATGATGAGCATCTTTTCATGTGCCTATTGGCCATCCGTATATCTTCTTTGAAGAAATGTCTGTTCATGTCTCCAGCCCATTTTTTGATTGGGTTGTTTGATTTTTTGTTGTTGAGTTGTGAGAGTTCTTTATATATTATGGATATTAAGCCTTTGTCAGATATATGATTTGCAAATATTTTTCCCCAGTTAGCGGGTTGTTTTTTTGTTTCAATCCTGTTTTCATTTGCCTTGAAGAAGCTCTTTAGCCTGATGAAGTCCCATTTGTTTATTCTTTCTATTGTTTCCCTTCTCTGAGAAGGCATGGTGTCTGAAAAGATCCTTTTAATACTGATGTCAAAGAGTGTACTGCCTACGTTTTCTTCCAGAAGCCTTATGGTTTCAGGTCTCACCTTTAGGTCTTTGATCCATTTTGAGTTTATTTTGGTGAATGGTGAAAAAGAATGGTCAATCTTCATTCTTTTACATGTGGCTTTCCAGTTTTCCCAGCACCATTTGTTGGAAAGACTTTCTTCTCTCCATTGTATGCCATCAGCTCCTTTGTCAAAGATAAGCTGTCCATAGATGTGTGGTTTTATTTCTGGGCTTTCAATTTTGTTCCATTGATCTGTGCACCTGTTTTTGTACCAGTACCATGCTGTTTTGATTACTGTAGCTTTGTAGTATGTTTTGAAGTCAGGGATTGTGATGCCTCCCGTTTTGTTCTTTTTTCTCAGGATTGCTTTAGAAATTCGGGGTCTTTTGTCGCCCCATATGAATTTTAGGATTCTTTTTTCTAATTCTGTAAAGAATGTCATTGGGATTCTGATTGGGATGGCGTTGAATCTGTAGATTGCTTTACGTAGAACGGACATTTTAACTATGTTTATTCTTCCAATCCATGTACATGGAATGTCTTTCCATCTCCTTATGGCGTCATCCAATTCTCTCAGAAAGGCCTTGTAATTTTCATTATATAGGCCCTTCACTTCCTTAGTTAAATTTACCCCAAGGTATTTTATTCTTTTTGTTGCGATTGTGAATAGTACTGTGTTCTTGAGTTCTTTTTCTGTTGGTTCATTACTGGAGTATAGAAATGCTACTGATTATGAAAATTGATTTTATACCCTGCAACTTTGCTGTAGATGTTGATTACTTCTAACAGTTTTCCAATGGATTCTTTGGGGTTTTCTATATATAAGATCATGTCGTCTGCAAACAGCGAGAGTTTCACTTCTTCCCTCCCTATTTGGATTCCCTTTATTCCTTTTTCTTGCCTGATTGCTCTGGCCAGGACCTCCAGTACTATGTTAAATAAGAGTGGTGATAGACGGCATCCTTGTCTCATTCCTGTTTTCAGGGGGATGGGGTTCAGTTTTTGCCCATTGAGTATGATGTTAGCTATGGGTTTGTCATATATGGCCTTTATTATGTTGAGGTAGTTTCCTTCTATGCCCATTTTGTTCAGAGTTTTTATCATAAATGGCTGTTGGATCTTGTCAAATGCCTTCTCTGCATCTATTGAGATGATCATGTGGTTTTTATTCCTCAGTTTGTTGATGTGGTGTATCACGTTGATTGATTTGTGGATGGTGAACCATCCCTGTGTCCCTGGTATGAATCCCACCTGATCATGATGTATGATCCTTTTGATGAATTGCTGAATTCTGGTTGCCAAAATTTTGTTTAGAATTTTTGCATCTATGTTCATCAGTGATATTGGCCTGTAGTTCTCTTTTTTCGTGGTGTCCTTGTCAGGTTTTGGTATCAGCGTGATATTGGCCTCATAGAATGTGTTAGGAAGTGTTCCATCTTCCCTAATTTTTTGGAATAGCTTGAAAAGGATAGGTATTAAATCCTCTCTGAAAGTTTGGTAGAATTCCCCAGGAAAGCCATCTGGTCCTGGGGTTTTATTCTTTGGGATGTTTTTGATTGCTGTTTCAATCTCTTTCCTTGTGATTGGTCTGTTCAAATTGTCTGCCTCTTCTTCAGTGAGCTTTGGGAGATTGTAGGAGTCCAAGAATTTATCCATTTCCTCTAGGTTATCCATTCTGTTGGCATATAGTTTTTCGTAGTATTCTCTTATAATCCGCTGTATTTCTGCAGAGTCTGTTGTTATTTCTCCTCTTTCATCTCTGATTTTGTTTATTTGAGCTTTCTCCCTTTTTTTCTTTGTAAGTCTGGCCAGTGGTTTGTCAATTTTATTTATCTTCTCAAAAAACCAGCTCTTTGTTTCATTGATCCTTTGGACTGCCTGTTTTGTTTCAATAGTATTTATTTCTGCTCTGATTTTTATTATTTCTCTCCTTCTGCTGCCTTTTGGCTTTATTTGTTCTTTTTTCTCTACTTCCGTTAGGTGTAGTTTAAGATTGCTTATTTGGGATTTTTCTTGTTTGTTAAGATGTGCCTGTATTGCGATGAATTTTCCTCTTAATACAGCTTTTGCTGTATCCCATATGAGTTGCTATGGCATGCTATCATTTTCATTTGTTTCTAGGTATTTTTTGCTTTCTTCTTTAATTTCTTCAATGATCCATTGCTTGTTCAGTAGTGTGTTGTTTAGTCTCCACATCTTTGTGCCTTTCTCAGCTTTTTTCTTGTAATTAATTTCTAGCCTTATAGCACTATGACTGGAGAAGATGCTTGTTATTATTTCAATTTTTTTAAATTTGTAGAGGCTTGCCTTGTTTCCCAACATATGGTCTATCCTTGAGAATGTTCCATGTGCACTTGAGAAGAATGTGCATTCAGCTGTTTTAGGGTGAAGTGATCTATATATGTCTATTAAGTCCAATTGTTTTAGTTTTTCATTTAGCTCGACTACTTCCTTGTTGATTTTCTGTCTGGATGATCTGTCAATTGATGTGAGTGGGGTGTTGAGGTCCCCTACTATTATTGTGTTGTTTTTAACCTCTGCCTTTAGGTCTGTTAATAGTTGCTTTATGAATCTTGGTGCTCCTGTGTTGGGTGCATAGATATTTATAAGCGTTATTTCTTCTTGAAGAAGTGTCCCTTTGATCATTATATATTGTCCCTCTGTGTCTCTCTTTACCTGTCTTATTTTGAAATCCACTTGGTCTGATATAAGAATTGCAACACCTGCCTTTTTTTCCTTGCTATTAGCTTGAAGTATTGTCCTCCACCTCTACACCCTGAGCCTGTGTTTGTCCTTGGGGCTGAGGTGTGTTTCTTGGAGGCAACAAATTGTTGGATCTTGTTCTTTAATCCATTTTGCCACTCTGTGTCTTTTTATTGGAGAGTTCAATCCGTTTACATTGAGAGTGACTATTGATGCACGTGGACTTAATGCTGTCAATCTGTTGCTCATTATCTTGTTTTCCTGTGTTTCTTTTCCTGTGTGCTTTAGACTACCCATTTAATACTGCAATTTCCTATGCTGGATTTCTTAGATTTTTCCTTATTTATGATTTGTGACTCTGTTCTGTATTTTATTTTAGTGTCTACTTTGAAGTTTGTATTTAGAATCTCGTGTATAATATAGTCTATTCTCTGGTGGTCTCTTACTTACTCGACCAATTCTGATTTAGACTCTTTGCTCTTCCCCTCCTAAATAATTATTTTCATTTCTTATTCCAACTTGTGTTGTGAATTTGTAGTTAGAGTGATAAGATCGTCCTTGC